GGCCTTGCTAAGATACATGCTTTTATTGCCGACCTTCACTTTGCGAGGGATTGTTCTTGGCAACAAGTGGTTTTCGAAACTGACTTCGCTATGCTTGATAACAAAGTTAATCGTGTTGAAGCTGATATTTCAACATTAAGCTTTCATCTCCACGATGCTCGACAGCTTTCAGCTACTAATGCGGGTTATAGCATTTAGTTTATACCTCTGTCTTGTAATAATGTAGCTTATTAGTTAGTATCTTGGGCACTTAATTCAGGGAATTTCATGTACTTTAATTTGATTTTTCTGAAATAATTGCTTCTAATGTATCAAATGATTATTTTATTACATAATATATTGTTTATATACTTTTTTCCTTTTTAAGATTTATAGATGTTTTTAACGAGACTCATGTTTTTTTTTAAAAAAAATTAATACTCTTATGCATAATTAAACTATAATGATCAAATTTTATTTTCACTTAATATAAAATTTTTATTTTTATAATATATAAACAAATGTTTTAGGTTTATATAATAAGTCAACAAATTAACTTAAAAACACTATATATTTTTTAGAATAAATTTAGGGTAAAATATAGTAATAGTCACTGAACTTTTTTAAAGCTTTCATTTAGGTCCCTAACTTTTAAAACATACAATACAATCCCCCAACATTTACGTCGGGGACCATATTGCAAACGGAATAAATGTTGGGGGACTGTATTGCAAGTTGTAAAAGTTGGGAGACCTAAATGAAAGCTTTTGAAAAATTTGTAAAACGTTTTCCAGATATTTTCAGAAAAATGTAATTCATTTTACGGAAAATATTTTCTGAAAAACATTTTCTAGAAATATAATTCATTTTCCATAATTCAATTTTTCAGTAATTTATTTTCCATAATTCAATTTTCAAAAAATTAATTACAACCAAAGAAACATACCTAAATATATGGACAACCATCTCATAAGGAACATAGACTACAACATAACCAGAAGAGCGAGTCTTAATCAGGGATTCCATCAAATGCATGGTGTCATGATGCACACGTCATGTTTGTGCTCTGCGCTGACGATTGTGTGATTGTCACCCACTTTCAAATTTACTCTTCACACCCCCACCGATGGTTTAAATTATTTTACTTTTTTAAATTTTTATATGTGTCGTCTTAACATAAAATCATATATTCATCCCTACTTACTACCATCATCCATCTCTCTTCACATTATAAAATTCAATACAATCTTATCATGTTCAATCTAAACTCCGTCTATTTAATAAGTAATTTAAAAAAATTAAATTGATAAAAATTCAAAATGAATTGAATTTATAATTATTTATTTCAAAAAATTATATCTTGCTTTGAACAATTTGAACTTAAAATAATGTAAAATGAAATATGATTTTAAATTTAGAATATTTTAGAAATTAATTTTTTTTAAATGAATCTATACAAAAATTCCTCAATAATCTATATGAATTTTAAAATTTTAAATTCAAATAAAAACTATCTTTTACCAGATAAAATATGAAATAAAATAAATTTTAATAATTTTGTTAAGAAAGAATTAATACAATCGTAACCTATCTAGCTCAATTGATAAAGCATAAAACTCTTAATTTATGATCGTGGACTTCATCCATCATTATTCAATATAAATAAAAATAAAAAGTCGATATATAAACCTTTCAACAAGTTTGTATTTCACCGATGTAAGACAGAAATAACTTCTTTTGCGCTACATCATTTTACCAATAAATATAATTATTATGGTAGTAATTATATCCTCTTATAATTATAATTTTCTTTTAATTTCCTAAATAATTTTTAATTTATTTTAATTTTAAATTATTTCATACATCATATTTGATCATTAGGGTTAGTTATATAACTACATAAGTTTAAATTCTACTGCAATATTAATAATATTAAAAAGTATCTATTTTATAAGAATTACACATTTAAAAATATATATTATATATATCATTAAATATTTTGAATACTTTGATTTTGAAATTTGAAGAACAACATTGTACTCTAATCTTAGAATGCGATTTGATGGTATTATGATTGAAATTAAATACCAACTTAAAAATTAATATTAAGGTAAATTACATGTTTAGTATTTAAAATAATATTTTTATTCTATTTTAATACTTAATTTTTTTTAAATTATACTTAACATTTAGTTTAAGTTTCAATTTAGTACTCTATCATTAAAAACTTATAGACATCGATGACATAGAATTTACAGTACAAGACACGTGGAATATCGAAAAAGATAAAATAATTCCACGCTATCACTGCCTCTAATTTTTATTGGTATGGTATCAAATTAAAACCTAAACTAAATTTTAGGTATGATTTTGAAAGAAGAAGAAGCTTAAGTACTCAAATAAAAAAAATGATAGTTTAGGAACTAAATGTGAAATTTACTCTTAATATTATTATGTCTTAATTTGGCAAGGACTACCAAACATAATGAAACGAGTGGAGGATAAAATCGTCCAAGGGGGCAATGAGTGAAGCCACGCGACCCCGACAAAACCAATGATGGAAACCTTGACCCATTCTAATAATTTAGGGCATCATCTTCACTCTCAGACTCTAGCTAGAAGCAACGACGAAGCACGACCTGTCTCCCTCACCTTTTTTTTTTCATTTTTCCATAGCCGCCTGCAAAATAAGAAAATTCAATATGAAGAGCTCCGCCTCAAGTTCAAAACTGCAAACAAAAAGATAAAGATATCCCATGAAGACGACGACAACGAGGAAGATGAAAATATGGAGAAATTCTACGCTCTCATCAACAACATTCGTGAGGCTCGTGATCGATTGATCGCAAACAACATCTCGTCATCATCAGCAGCAGCAGAGATCCGAAGAAACGCTGCTGCAGCAGATGATCAGGGCGAAACCATGAAGCGAAAGCTTGAAGAAGATCAAGAGAACCAAGCTGTAGCGTCGAACCCCTCATTTCAACGTGAAGATTTCATGGATGAGGCTGATAATAAGCCGAAGGTGCTTCCTATGAGCTTCGCCGGTACTTCGCAAAGCAAAGAGGGCAGTGATCGTAATGATCGGAAAGAGGAGGTTAAAGAAGAAGAGTTGGATCTTACCCTTTCACTGTAGAGGGAAGAAACTGTTGGTACATCAAAATAAAGTGACTGGGTGAACTGGATGTTCCACGCTTGAAAGTGAGAAATTACCATCAAGCCTTCACGCAGGCGTTTCTTGTCTAAGCATTTCCTCGGTACTTTTATGTACGTTAATTATAATTAATAGAACATTGTATCTATTTTAAAGAAATTATTTCATAAACTCTATTTACAATAATATCATGTACGGTTCTGTAAATTAAAATTGATTATTTTACTCTTTTTGTTTATGTCATTAGTCCATTCAAGATTAATCTTGCACTTTTATATTTTCATGAAAAAAAGTAAAATTCTGATCTTCAAATTCTATCGTTTAATTATTTTTGAATTATGCATGATAGAAAGGACATGAAAAATTTGATGAAGACAATTTTACAAATCTAATGAGCAAGCTTCAAAGTAAAAATATGATTGTGAATATAAATCATTTAATTTTTTTTTTGGATAATTCTAATTTTATTACTCAAATCAAGGTTTAATTACAACCAATCCATCAATCTACAACGAAAGAATCAGAAAAACAGCCTACAAAATGATTGGTTAGACTATATCTCAAACATTACAAAACATTAAGTTAGTATTATATAGTCTATTGATATTAGTTCCCCTAAGACGGATTCCGACAACGTCTTTAACATCTTTAAGCAACCAATCGATCGTTCTATACTGTCCTTGAAATATTCTCTGATTTTTTTCTGCCACAAAGAATAAATAAAAGCAGTTCAAGAAATTTTCAAAATAATTGTAAGTAGAGGCCTCCCTTTCCATGTTGAACTTGCCTTTGAAACCATTTCTTCCCATGATAAGTAAGTGGTCTTCATCCCATTAAGGTTTAAAATTGAATAGTAGAGTTCCACTGCCAGAGAACATTGTGAAAAGAGATGGTCCCTTGTCTCATTTGAGTTGCTACAATTGACACAAAGACAGTCAGTGCTAATTCTCATTCGAAGAAGTCAGTCTCTAATAGGTAATTTGTTCAGTAAAGCCATCCAAGCTATCAAGCTAAATGTTGGAATATGTATTAGGAACCAAATAAGTTTGTGTCATAAAACATTCTGCCCTTTAAATCAAATCAAATCCCAAATTTCCTTAACATGCGTGAACCGACTATAATAATAGGAAGAGCTTCCGCCCTTGATTTTAAGGAACAAGATTTTTGGCACTTCCGAGCTGCTGCAAATATAATTAACAAAGCTTTTATAATTCATATTTTCCGTCCTTTATACTAACAAGAGTCTTAAGGTATCGGTTTATTTTAAAGTTAACTAAATTAAGTTGGAACCCTAGTATATTGGTTCAAATCTCTTTTAACTTATAAAATTAAGTTAGAATCTATATCAATTTCAAAATTAGACCGTTTAACCCAATAGTTTATTCTGATTCGGTCTCCTCGCAAATATATCATAGCTGTGCAGCGCAGAAAAATGCCAAAACAGAGAACAGCGTTGTAGATAATGAAAATCATTGCAGGCTGACGTATTAGCTCTTGCCTAATTTGTGAATATTCGGAAGCCAACTCGAAAACCCACGCCAGCCTTTCGTTTCTATGATTTCTTTCATTTCGTATTGCGCAATCAGTATTACGTCATCATCCTTTCGACCCCGGACGTGGACATGCAATCGGCATCCAATCACGTCATTTAGAGACGCGGCTCATGATTTCACTCGTCGTATTCCCGTTTTACTTTTATACCCCTCTCTAGATGACGCAGTTTGACTTTGGCGCCGTCGGGGCAGGTCGGTATTTCTAGAACTGACCCGGACCTCTTAATTTTCTAGCCCCCCCCTCCGGGTTGTATAAATAGGAGTACAGATTTGAACCAACTTGTCAGCAGCAAAGAAACATCAGAAAAACTCGTGCTACTTTTTTTTTTTTGAATATATAAAATATCTGGATTTCTAGTTATTTTTCCTTTTGACATGGCGACGGAGGAGAGTAATCATGTTTCGAATGGTGAAGATGATCGTCAGGAGCAAGAAGACGAGAAAATGGAGCAGTTTTTTGCTCTGTTAAGGAACTTTCGGGAGGCGCGTAATAAGCGAAAACAGGAGCTGAGACAGAGAGATGACGAGGAGGAGATGAGTAAGAATATGAAGAAAAACAAAGCAAGTAATTTGGGTGACGATGAGCAACCGAGTTGGGTTCCGAGATTTGAATGGGAAGATTTTACCGCGGAGATTGAGTTTCGAAGGCCACTCATAGTCTTTCCAACTCCATACAATAAGAAACAGGAAGAAGACGATGGTTTGGATCTGAATCTCACCCTTTCTTCAGCAACAGTTTAATTTTCTTGTGCAAAAAAAAGAATGGAGTTTTATCTTGTATTATATTGTTGATCTTAATTATTAATGTTTCAATCTCGATTCTCCTGGATAAGCTATGTGAATGAATGGTTGCTGCTTTGAAATGAAATCAATGGTAGAGAAAAGCTTTCAGATCTGATGGAATTACTTAACCGGAAAACGGTTTTGTTTTGCTTGTTGCTTCAGCTTTGAGAACAACTCAAAGCGAACAGAATCACAGATATTTTCATGCATATGCTTCGTGACTGGTGTAGTTTTAATGTTAAAATAATTCGACTTCTTAAAAATAAATAAATAAAGATAGATTAGAATATAGAAGCAAGTCTGTCTACAAGGACTCTGATTTTTTTTTTGATGCAGTGAACTTTTTTATTTAAAAGGAATGAGATAAGATAGAGTTTTGGATGAGATTAAATAGGGGTTTAAAAGTTATTTTAAAATAAAATATAAGAATTAAATAAAAAATATTAATTAATTAAATAATTAAGTGACTTAGATAATAAAAAGTTAGAGTGAAATTAGCCTATGTCTTCAGCTTTTGCTTTAAATTCATTTGATCATCGGAATAAATTTTTGTTTCGGTTATTCGTCGGTTACAGTCTACAGGATTCAACTCCTGTAACTTTTTTTTTCTCTTGTGAACTGATAACCCAAAATTTATATTTGGATATCTTTCTTTACGGAGACTAACTACGACTATCGTCGTTAGAGCCAAACTGTTTTATAGATATGAAAAAACCTGACTCAGACTATGTTGCCTCAATGAGAATCGTCCGATCTCAATTTTCCTTATCGGATCGTCGCTAAGTATGTTCACAGGAAGTTGAACTTGCTATCAACATATTCTTCCTCCTAACTATAAATCAAAACAACTTCCGAACCAATGTCGACTTTTTGATTAAAAAACGTTTTGATTTTAAAAATATAGGTCGATTATCAATCTTATTCCTCTAGAAATTTCAGAAAATAACTCGAAGTTATTTGAGTGTTTTTCAACCTCACAATAGGGATTGAGTCATCGCTTCAGTCATTGGCTATGAAAAAATTAACTAAGCATGTCAATCATAGTTAACATCTTTGAAAATAAAAATAAAATAAAGAAGAATAACTTTGAAAAAGAAAATAAAAACTTTTATAAAACCATAGGAAATAATAAAAGAATGATTTTTGAATGTTTTCTAGGTTTACATGAGAGAATATTTATAGCCTTTAAAATCTTAAAAATAAGGAAAATATAATTCCTAAAACAAATAGAAAATACTTAAATCATTTAAACTAAATTACTAAAAATAAAAATAAGATAAAATATAATATAATATAATTTAAACTAATATACTAAAAACATGAGTTTAACTTAAATTTAAATTGCAGAAACGTGTGACTAATCCATTCGTCCTTCTAGAAGCGTTGACTGTGCTGACTCATCGCCTCGTCAAATGCATCATGCCCGGAATCATGCCTACTAATCCAGCCTTGATTCTAAAAATAAAATGGCTGTCCCTTTTTCTCATATGTATGGGGTAGGAGGAGGTAAGATAGTAAGCTACCCCCAACACCAAGTTGAAAGCAGCTTCCGTAAGAGACCTCCGAATTATGAAATACCCTCCGTGAGACTCGATCCCACGATCTTAAGGTTAAGAACCTTGTGCTCTACCAACTGAGTTGGATGGTCATTTTTAGTGTAATTTACAGAATCTGTTGTTCTGTACAAAAAATAAATTAAAATAAATAAATCAATCACAAAAACCAATGATTAAAGAATAATTTAAAAGTAAAATAATAACCAAATAAATAACCTATCACTTCGTTTCATATTAAACCATTACTCTGCTACATGCTATAAGAAAGAAGATTAATTGATTAGCACAGCAAGACATAGTTGCTCATCATATTGACTTTGCATTACCTTTTTGGTGGTGGAAAGCTGATACTTCAATTGGGGGGGGGGGGGAATAGCATTCGATTTTGTACTCAAAGAACAGGTGAAATTATTGACAGAAGAAAGTTACTCCATATTATAAACTTTTTATATGTTAAAATATAAGTTTATTGTTACTTTAACCTGTAATTTTATGTTTTTTTATTAAATTAAACTTTTATTACTTGAAAGTCAAAATACAATGTTATTATTATCTTATTTTTAAAATTTAAATGGATTAAACTTGTACTTTTATCATTTAAAGGTAATGACCATCCAGTTCAATTGGTAGAGTACAAGGTTTTTAACCTTGAGGTCGTGGGATCGAGTCCCACGGAGGGCATTTCATAATTCGGAGGTCTCTTACGGAAGTTGCTCTCAACTTGGTGTTGGGGGTAGTCTATTATCTTACCTCCTCCTACCCCATATATATGAGAAAAAGGGTCAATCATTTTTATCATTTAAGGGAACTAAGACCATGCTCTTTAACCGAGCTTCGCCTTTGCTTTGTGAAAATGGTAGACCTGTGGAACTTCTACTCCATTCTCTCTTTCCATTTGCTCAACGCAAAGAAATAAGTTTTAAATGGGCTTTATTACTCAAATATGTCCCATTTTAAAATAATTTTTAATTTGAGACGCATTTCATATTATCTTTCAGATTAATAACTTTTTCTATCACGTAAGATAACAAATGTGTTACGTGATAAGTATTTTTGAAAGCACGTCTTATTTACACGGATTCTACCTACATGACGACAATATGAGTATATGTTGGACTATTTTTGTTGTTGAAAAATATGGATTAAAAATATGAAAAAATATATAAATTTTGTTTAAAAAGAACAAATATGCAAAATATATGTCGAAAGCACGTAATTATATGAGCACAAGCTGGGTCGAGCATTGATATTATTTTCAACCACTCAATATATGCATGTTTAAAATAATATATTTAAATACTTCAAAATTCACATATCTAAAATAGTGTGGTATTTGAACGCTCACCTCCATCACCCGACTCATGTATGTACAATTATGTATATTCGAGTCCCACGGTAGACAATTCATAATTCTGACTGCCGGAGGTCTCCCACAAAAGTTGCTCTCAACCTGGCATTGGGGGCAGCCTACTATCATACCTCCCCTTATCCCATTACATATGGGAATAGGGTCAGCTAATTTATTTTTAATGGATAATTAGTTTAGATTTTATTTTAATTTTTAATGGTTGAAAATTATTAGATTATTAAGTTTATTTATTTAATCATAATTATAGAGTAAATATAGTTGGTGTTCAAGTTTATTTTTTATAAATAAATATAAAACTTTAGAATTATAAGATAAAATTATTTTGTGATCTCCTAGAATTATGAGATAAAATTATTTTGTGATTTCCTTGATTATTATAGTTTATGTCGAAGATATATATTTTGTATGAATATTGAAATAGTTTTTTGGGATACCCCAAATTTTGAGATATATATATATATATATTAGATTATGAAATACATGATATATTTGTAATATTTTATGTTGGAATTTGAGGGATGATTGTTGAATTAAGCCTCTACATTTGGCAATGGCAACAATTTTAACGATATGGACATATCGCAAACTCGTTGAGTTATGGGCCTCAGGCCTTCACAAAAGGAGTCACCTACGTCTCTACCAACCACCGACATCATTGACATATTGTGTCACATCCTGCCGAGCTGATGACGTTTACAAAGAAGGGAGAAATTTCAAGTGTAAAAAAGGGGAAAAATGAAGGACCAGTTCAAAAAGGAAGCTTATAGTCTTACTATAAATGGGAGCAGAAACTTTGAATTAATTTGCAAAGTATACCACTTACGCAGAGCTCAAATTTTATTACAGAAGAAGTTGAAGTTAACTGAAGGAGTGGAGTAATTAGAAGAAAGAATATTGGAAGCGAAAATGGCATTGGCGGCTTCGGTGTAGTGAACTCCATCCCAGCTTATGAACTTCGATCCTTCATGGCATACGGTGTAACCGGTCCGGCCACAAGTGATATTGGCGTTGTAGTTGTACGGAGGCCCCCCATAGCCACAACATGCCATTAATGGACTCGTAAAGCCTGTAAGGCAAAACAAATAAAAAATAAAGTTCGCCACAAATTTACACGAAACACAAGTGGTAAGAAGCGAGACCATACCGTAATTCGAGGCATTGGCGATAAGATCATACTTGATGGAATATATATCGACATAGACAATGGTGGCATTAATCAGTTGAGAATTAAGTTGTTTGCATAAATCACCAAGTTGTGCATTAAATGCCTTTGCGGCATTGTTGAGAGGCACAAGGCAGCCATGCTCATCCAGTTCACTGCCATCTCGAGCAAAGGAAGCGAGTTTTTGCGGCAAACATCCGAGTGGTCCGGTGTTGTGTACCCAGAAATTCTTCCCTCCTTTCTGATATATGCTCTGTAATCAAGATTGGAGAAAATATATAAAAAATAATCCGATTCATCAGATTAGCCAAAGTAGAGGCTCTGAATAGCGAAAGACTCACCCAAATAGCATATTTGATTTCGGTGATGAAAGAAGGAATTCTATCAATGACTTGTGAATAGCTGAGGGAATCAAATGATGCAGCTAAGTCATTCTGTCCAATATCAATTGTATAAAGTGCATTTTCAAAGTCACCATCGCCAACCAAATCTTTGTAGCCTGACTCCAGGATCAAAAAACTTGAACATTAATGGCCAAATATACATTGCTGTAAATAAGTAGCTATTTTGCTTGGATCATGTAGGAACATACCATTCGACATGAGTGCCGGGGAGTGAGATCGGAATCGGAGGAACTGAGAAACTTGGACGTGCAAACTGAAAGGGACATATCTAGGCAGAGTGGCGGACCCAATAATTGCAAAGTTGGCTCCGTTGGTGAAATTTGGCCCCAAAGAATTCAGATATGGAGTCAGATAACTAGTGTTCAAGCTTTCACCTGCCAAGCAATCAACAAACAACATAAAGTTTCTGGGCTTCGTTTCCAAATTTATCCATTTTTAGTGGAATTATCGCCAACAACATCAAAGTCTTGGTTCGATTTCCAATTTTAACAATCATTTCTTTCAAATTGTAAGCTTATAATGGTGCGTGTGTGTACATGTATATATATAAAGTAGATGTATCAACTTTATTTATTCATATTATATTTTGTAGTCTTATATTGGAGACAGCAAGTCCATCCACTTGAATCAAAATGCGGATTTATCAGCCTAAATTCTAGAGGTGAAAAATATGGGGAAGATATTGGGGATGATTATAAGTCGAGAAGTCAGTTTTTATTTCATTCAAATTTGATCTCAAAATCAAATTCTTCCATTAGCACATGATTTTATTCGGGTCTAGAAAGATTAACATGACTCGAAATTCGATCCGGTTTTTTAGGTCAAATCTTGTATCTAACACGATATATATATTTCTTTTTTATCAAGTAAAATAAGAACCTAGTTGGAAAAAATAATGTAGAGATGAATATTACTGTAATTATCTCTAAATATATAAGTGATAATTATAATATTATCTCGCGTCAAGTAAAAATATTTTCACTATAAACTCGAAACTAACCCTACCATTAAAAAAATCTTAATTGGACACGAATCCAAATTTTTAAAATAAAAAAGTAATTTAATTGAATCAAATCAATTGAGATAAAATACGACTCCCTAAAGATACCCATCTAAAAGAAAGGCTCCATGCTTTAACAACATATGGTATACGCTAGATGTGAGGTGGCAGACTGGCAGTGTGCCCTTCCTACCGGTAATGCTCGAGGCGGAAAGATGGGCAAATGCAGTGGAAGCAATAAGTATGAAAACAAAAGGTATTTGTCTGACATATGACCCATGTATGAAGTAGTATAAACTAACATTTATGTCTATATGCAAAAAAAACAGCAAATTATGAGATTAGCATATGGTTCATCCATATTCTACACAAGTTCCCATGCATCTCCAATGAACCATTATCTTGTTACTCTTCGGTTTTGACCAAAAAAATGGACAAGCATGAACTATGTATATCTATGAACTTACAGAGGAAATCAATCATCAATCGTCCATCGGATAAACGACCGGCTGGCTGATGGAAATATGTACGGCCGTTGGGAGGCACAAAGTCGAGTCCCAAGCCATCTACATAGCCACCGGTGTCGGAGTTAGAGTCGCCGAAGTTGAAGATGATGGGGTTTTTGGCGCACTTGGAATGGACTGAGAGAGGAAGCAATGGAATAGATAGAGAAAGAATCACATGAAGTGTGAAGAAGGGAAAGAGAGGAAAACACCCTTCCTTTACGACTCCCATATCTCTAGATTGCTTGGGTTTTCTTTCACTACAAGTCTACAAACATAAATGATGTTTACATACATACATATATATATATAATTAAAGGTGAAAAAAGAAATCGAAATCATGTCTTTTCGCAAGCGACGTTGACAGATGGTTTCAGGAAAAATATATGGCAAAATACGAGCGTAGATTACACAAGTACCAAAAAAAACCCAGAAAATGGGATCCTCATAGACCAAAGAGGCAAAGACTATCATCATTGGTTATTATTCTATTTCCAAAATATATGTGTGATAAGATGCGTAACGACACTAATTTTAAATTTTGATTTTTTTTATAAATCAAACTATCCCAATAGTTAAATGAATGAATATTATCTTTAGAAGTGCTGAGTTGGAGTATGATAACTACATAAGTGTCTAAACGTTTATTGTCAAATTATTAAAAAAAATTGAATAAATAATACCTTATAACCATTCAAATTAATAAAAAAAATCGTTTTCCTTTTCAATATTGGATTAATATCCCTTGTATATCAAAAGTGTGACATTATATATCTACAAGATGAAATCTATTCATTTAAAGAAAAAAAAAAGTAGTATTATCCAAATTGATGGGCCTAAGAAATTTAATGCAACGAATTCCTGGCCATAAACCCGAGCAATTGTACCAGCATATACAGCTGCTGATGCATGTTATACAACTAGCAAGTGGGATTAGTCATTACCATTAAGGGTGAGTTTGATTCACGGAATATAAGATTACCAGTGAGAATAAAAGATTACCAGAGAATATGATTACTGGGAATGTTGTATTTTGTGTTTGGTTGGTTTAGCAGGAATATAAAATTACCGTGTTTGGTTAAACAAATAAATGATTATTGGAATGTATATTTGAGCAAATTATCCTTATTACATATTTATTTTTTAACAAGTTGGAAAATATTTATATATTTTCTTTAAAAAAATTAAATTCATAAAATTTATATAATTTTTTTAATAAAATTGAAAATATAAAAAGGTTTAATGAAAGGGTAAAATTTTATTTTAACCCCTGAACTTCATATAAAATTTTAATTATACTTTTTTTGTAAATCTAAAATAGTTTAAGGATAATTTTGTAATTTAATCTTCGTAGAATTTTTATTATTCAATGACAGAATAAGGATATTTTTGAAAGAAATTTTTTTAAGGGCATTTTAGTCCAAAACGCCAATAATCTAATAATACCTAAGAAAAGTGAGGTAATGACATTCCAGGTAATATACCCCAAAAAGATCACTATTGATAATATAAGATTACCGGGAATGATATTCCCTGCCAACCAAATGAGGGAATGTGGATTTCATTCCATGAGAATCTCACATTCCCCTAACCAAACACACCTTAAGGGGGTGTTTGGATGGGGGAATATTAGATTCCCATGGGAATATATTCCACATTCCCACGTTTGGTTAGCCCGAAAATTCCATTCCCGATAATGCAAGATTACCAATAGTGAATTTTTTGGGGTATATTACAGGAAATGTCATTACCTCCCTTTCCTTAGGTATTATTGGATTACCGGTGTTTTGGACTAAAATGCCCTTAAATTTTTTTTTTCAAAAACATCATCTTCTGTCATTGAATAATAAAAATTTTACGAAGGTTAAATTACAAATTTATCCTTAAATTATTATAGATTTACAAAAAAAATCTATAATTAAAATTTTATATAAAGTTCAGAGGTTAAAATAAAATTTTACCCTTTCATTAAACCTTTTTATATTTTTAATTTTGTAAAAAAGTATATATAAATATTATGAATTTAAATTTTTAAAGAAAATATATAAATATTTTTCAATTTGTAAAATTATACAAATATATAATAAGCATAATTTGGTCAAATATACATTCCAATAATCTTTTATTTCTTTAACCAAACACGGTAATCTTACATTCTTGCTAAGTCAACCAAACACAAAATACAACATTCTCAGTAATCCTATTCGTTGGTAATCTTACATTCTCACTGATAATCTTACATTACGTGAACCAAACACACCCTAAGAGTTTGTGGCACTAACTTTTTTTGTCGTTCAGACAGAAGCTTGATGGATGAATTGACAGAAACAAATGGAGTGTTTGGTGGAAATAATAAAAAATGTCGGTAATAACTGATGTAAAACATGCATAAGCAATACGAAGACAAGCAACTAAACAATCAGAAAAAGATTCCCAAGTTTTTGCTTTTATATGGTCCGTGATCAAAATCGTTTATCAAGAATAATGATGATTTCGAAAGAGCCGGTAGCTTGAGTAAAAAGTTCAAGATTCACTAACCATTGTCTGCAGAATAGGAACTGATTCATTTCTTCACATGTTCACTGGTTTCTCTGTCAATAATAGATTTGTTCCAAGTTTTTTTTCCTTTTAATCTTATGTTCCAGTCATGGGGGTTTGGAAACCATTTTTACAGTAAATGTTAAGAATTCGTTACTGTCTCTCATAACAATACAACACTGTAATCTTATATTTATGTCAAATAAACAAAACAAGATAATATAGTATTCTCAATACTATATCAAATAATGCAACATTCTGATAATCTTATTTTCAAAGGTAATCATACATTCCATGAACCAAGCGCTCGAAATGTAACCTTACTTTGTAAAAGCCTGCTTGAGAAGAAGACAGTGCAGTAGAACTGAGAGCAACGGCTATAATCCATAAAAACACATCATTAAACAAAGTGCACACACCATTGCCATATATTAGAAGTGTTACAATGGCAGAACATTGTGTGGTTATTACATTCAAATGCTATATTTTCTCCACATGTTCAAGAAGATGATGAAGTGAGGGAAGCTGTTGGAACCATCACTGCTAATTCAGTAAACTGCAGCTGAAATGGCCGTCTACCACCGACAGCTTCTCGGCTTTCGTAACGGCATCTAATGGAAGAGGAGCAAAGCTTCGCGATGGGCCGTAGAAGTGCGGGAATTTGTTGGAACCATCCACAAGTTCATACACCAATTCACCTCCAAGCTGCAACAGATGCAAATGTTAAACAGTAGTTCATGTTGATTTCCAGAAATGAACCATTGAACGAATCTTAGTACTATTGCTTCCTTGACAACTAAAATTGCAAGTTAGGGTTTTTGAATCTCCCAATTTGAAAACAATCCAAGTACCCATCAATTATATCTTCATTTCAATTTGATCTTTAACATCAACAAGCAAAAGACTTCAGTAAGATCTGAAGTATTCGTTTTCAGAAACGTGTACAAGTGTTGTTTTACCTTCTTAGTATCAATTTGAAGAAGGTACAAATCCAGCTTGACGTTAGAGAAAAAATTCTGCAGAGTAGGCTTTACCTGCAACAATTGATAACCAAACACAAATATGATTCAATTACATGTATCTAGAGATATAATTAAAGGAATAAAAATGGGCACTTGAGTGAGATATAGAGAGACCTGATGAAGCGAGCTGAAGTGAATGAAACCAGAGGATTTGTCCAAATCTCCGCCAAAAGTAGATCCATTCTTTCGCAATGCTTCCCAATCCTCAGCCGTGCTTATCCTGTAGACGAATTCTTCCCCTTCACCAGAGGCCATTGTTTACGCACAGCTCCACGCCTCCACCAGTCACAGCAGCAGCCGATGGTGATTTTTTTGTTCCAATTAAAACAAAGTGATAAGTGTGTTATGGTGACTAGGGCTGTAAAAAAGTTGACCAGCAAAACTGACTGAAATCGACTCGAGTCAAAATTATTTTTGATCTGTATTGTGGCGATCCAAAATCGACTCGAGTCGAAACTGGTATTGACATGAACCCGATTTTGACCTGGAAATTGTGGATCCGAACCCGACCTGGATCCGAACTCGACCTGAGAACGACCTGAACCCGAATTGAACCGAAAATATGATACCCGAACCCGAACTGCATCCGACTGATATGAACCCAAACCCGAGATTGACCTGGTAAATAACTGGTATTTCCCGACCTATTTTCAACCTGACATGTTTTCAACCTGACCTGTTTTTAACATGACCTGTAAATGATCCGACTTGTTAATGATCTGATCTGATATTTACCTGACTTATATATTACTATGGAAATCTTATAAATTATCAATTTTTAGCTTATGATGTAATTAAAATATTAATATGATTACTTTTTAAATGTTATAATAAAATAGTTATTATGATACTTATATTAATAAATAAACCTATTATATAAAATTATTTAATAAAATTAATAAAATTATTTAAATGTAAATTAGATAAAACATTATTAATAATGAAAAGGAAAATTAATATAGTTTAATTTATATGAATTATATAGTTTAATTTATATAAAGAAAAAGTAATATTAATAATAAAAATATTTATTATGTAATATTATTAATGGTTTACATTAATAATATGAATGATTTTGGTAATAAAATAATAATTAATTTGATAATAAATGAATATTAGTATTAAACGTGGTTAATTCTCTAAAATATAAATATAAAATATATCGTTTAATTTTTGTACAAAAAAATTATCTAACAATTATAACATAAATGAAAAATAATATAAAATATAAATTTAATTGATAATGATAATTTAAATAACATTTAATATAAAATTTGAATAACATTTGAGTCAATTCAAGTTCAATACAATAAAATGAAAAAAAAATTAAAAAAATTTTAAGCTCTCAGGTCTTATAACAAAAATGTTATAAGGCTAAAAGCCTAACTTTTCTACCAGAAATTTCTTCATCGAGCTTTTATATCGAAATAACTGCCAACATTGTTAAATTGCGGGCAACTTTTAAAGCTACCAACATAATTTAACATGAGTAGCTATTTCGAAAAAAATGACAGTTTCAACAATCTATTTAAGTCGGACCAACAAAATAAAATACAAGGCAACAACAGGCAGCAAGCAGCATCAAGCAACAGGCAGCAGGAAACAACATGCAACAATAGGAAACAACAACAACAGAAGGCAGATTTTCTGCATTAAACAAACATTTAATCAGCAGTAAATCCAAAGGGAATACGATGGCCAACAGTGCCAAACATTTCCGACTTTACCAAACCCTTACATAATAAAACATTCAACATTGTTTATGAAAATAAAATTAATATCAACCAAAATCAGAATGTGTTACTTTGGACAGAAGCATCCTACAAAAAAAAAGGCATCAATTAAAATTTGTTTAAGATAAACATAATAAATACAATAAGTAATTAATAAGTAAAAGTTACCTGTAACAGAAGAAACAAGACTGAATCGTAAATTCCAATGGCTTCACTTAACGTTAACAACATAAAAAATTAAAATTAAAATAATTAATAAACAATTTGAAATATTGAGATTAAAATAAAATATAAAGCAATTATATCATACCTTTACATAGCAGAGTCATTAACCACAGTAAGGTAGTCTTCATCCTTATCCTCCGGCTCAAAACCATACAACCAATTACGGGTTGTAACAAAAATCTCAACATTTTTTGGTAAGAGTGAAGCTCTTAATTTGGTCAAAATTCTACCCCCATACTAAATGACGATTCAGATGCAACTGAAGTAATTGGAATAGCCAATATATCTCTCGCCATGCGAGAAAGTACAGGATATAAAACACGTTGATTTTTCCAATACTCCAAAATATCAAAGTCTGAATCTCCAGTACGAGGGGCAAGGGCCAAACTGATGTACTAGTCAACATCAGATCGTTTACTCCTTGAAACAGCTAAATTGGCATCAAAATTCTGAAAAACAAAAGACAATAAATTAGTAAATAAAAACAGAAAATAAATAAGTTAAAATTCAACTAGAAATTATATTAACTAACCTGAAATAAATCTGATTTTCTAAATGTTCGAGGTCGATTGGAACTTGAGTCACTTCTGTCCAAGGATGTGTTACTTTGGACATAAGAAGAAGAAGAAGAAGAAGAAGAAGAAACACAAGGTGCATTTTTTGAATAAAATACATATAACTCAAGAAACTCATCTTAAATGAGACTTACCCTCCGTTGAACCTCATCATCAACATAAATAACATTGTACAACTCCTTAAGCAGTTGTAATTTATATCGAGGATCAAGTAAAACAGCAAAAGACAGAATCATAGAGTGATCAGTCCAATATTTCTCATAAAGTTCAAGCATGGGTCCTGCCATTGCAGAAATACCTTCACAAGGATCATTATGAGCATCACATAACAATTTCTCAATTGCAACAACGTTAGCCAAATACAAGTTAGAAGTGGGATACTTAGAACCAGAGAACATAGATGTAATTTCATAAAAAGGCTCATGAAAATCACAAATTGTTTGAATTGTTTCCCATTCATAATCAGTAATGATATCCAACTCATTTTCCCTATTAACAAACAAGTTAATTCCTAATCTAGCCTCAAGTGCCCTATGAATCATCAAGTAATTCAAATTCCAACGAGTAGGAACATCCAATACTAAATTACCAGAGAAAGAAGAATCACAATCTTTAACAGCTAATTCAAAGGCACAAAGTCGAGAGTTAGAAGAATCAATAAACTTAACAATATGACGTAATTTATTAACAGAAGAATCAATTACCTTCAAACCTTTTTGAACTATCAAGTTCAAAATGTGGGCAGCACACCTTATATGGAAGTACTTACCATTGCAATGAAGAGGAGAAATGACATTCAAATAATCTTTCAGTCTCTTAACCATTCTATCATTTGCAGAAGAATTATCAAGTGTAATGGTAAATGCATTTTTTTCAAGACCCCATTCACATATCATCTTTTTCACAAACTTAAAGATAGACTCAGCATCATGAGGAGGAGGAAAACGACGAAAATTAAGTATTTTAGACTGAAGTTTTCAGTTATTATCAACATAATGAGCAGTAAAGGCAAAATAAGAACGTGAAGTGCAGGCAGACCAAGCATCACATGTAAAACAAACACGACTTGAGACAGAATTCATTGAATCAAGTAGTAATTTTTTATACTTTTCATGTTACAACATGCAATACTTAGTCACAGTATACCTAGATATTTCCTTAACAGAAGAATTAAGGTAATTATGTAAATCCCTAAGTTTGTCATGCTCAACTATACTATATGCATAACCATGCCATATAATAGCCTCAGCAAACAATTCACAATATTTGTTTTGATCAAAAGAAGCTACACTATCTGGATTTTCAGTAAGAAAATCCTTATATGCTTGGCATTTCTCAGTATGCCTTTTAGGGTTAGATGTACCAATATAAGAATCAACTTTATACCTTTTCAATTTGCAATACTTACACTCGGCATAAATAGAACCATCATCAGCTTTGGTGAATGTGTAGTGGTTCCAAACAGCAGAGGTTCTTCTCCCAAATTCGAATAACTAGTGGCCCTCCTCTTAGAGGATTTATTTAAATCAACTGCTTCGGAAAGCACATCATTTATATCCCCTTGGAAAAAAATTAGGGTTAGCAACTAACCATATAAAAGCAATTCGAATGAACAACCAACAGTATCAACAAATTAAACAGTTTATTTAAACTGTAAATAAAGGCAGCTAACACCCTTATAAAAGCAATTCGAATGAACAACCAACAACACAAACAAATTAATAGTAGCTACAAATTAAACAATTTATTTATACTGTAAATAAAGGTAGCTAACAACCTTATAAAAGCAATTCGAATGAACAACCAACAACACAAACAAATCAACAATAGCTACAAATTAAACAATTTATTTACCTATTTCAGAATACCCTTCATTCTGATTTGATGGGTTTTCTCCTAAAAAAGAAATGAATAATAAATTAATAAACAATATTAAAATCAAAAAACAAAATAATACATTACTAAACAGTAAACATACATGGACCATTCAACTTGTAAGAAAAACTGTCCATGAAACCCTTGAAAAAAGGGATTCGAATATCAACCAAAAACAGAGACAACAAGTGAAGATGCTCAGTTAGAATTTTTTAGGTTCGGGTTTGAATTTAGGTTTGAATTTGGGTTGGGTTTGGGTTTAAGTTAGGGTTTGGGTTCAGTTAGGGGTTAGGTTTGAGTTTGGGTTTTGGGTTAGTATTAGGGTTAGGGTTGGGTTAAGGGTTAGGTTTGGGTTTGGGTTTGGGTTCAAGTTCAGGGTTTAGGTTCAAGTTAGGGTTAGTGACAAAAGATGAACAGGTTTGGGTTTGATCGAAGAAAACAAAATGATTTAAGGGTTTAGGTGTTTGTAAGGATCAACGAGAGGTTTGATCTAAAAAAACTTGAAGTGGTATATGTTTTGGTGTTTGTGAAGATCAACGGACGATTTTTGTGAAGAACAAATATGAACTGGGATGAATACGGATGAACAAAGGAGAAAAGTTTGGGTGTTTGATCGAAAAAAACAAGAAAATGAATGGGTTTTGGTGTTTATGAAGATCAAATGAGAGTTTTCGGATGAACAAGGATGAAATTTCGAGTGTTTGAACCAAAAAAATAGAATTTTTTTGGATTTGATGTTTTTGAAGATCAAAACAAGGATTTTTCGAAGAAAAATGAACAACACGGATGAACTTCTAGAGAGAATGCAGAGAATTTGAGAGAAACGAAGAGCTAGAGAGAAAGAGCAAAATGAGAGAAATGAATAGAAAGTTGGAA